GGTTGAACAGCAACAACAAAATTACCAAGGGAATAGAAGATTTGGATGCAGCCAATTTTTTAAAGGTTATCACGAGAATAAAAAGCACTGGGTTCAGGCCTAGTTAAAACAGTTCGCTTATTTTCATGTTATTTATCTTCCTTTTAACCTATAAAAACTGACAAATCTGACATGAGAAATGCCATTGAGCAGACACTCAATTTGGGGAAAAGGCCTTCAGCAGCACACSAGTGCTGCCCGCATCCTGGCACAGCTCTGGGCCCCAAAACTGCYGCTTCAGGGAATGCTCCCAATTCCCCAAATCCTGTCTCCAGCCCTGCTCTCTGTGCTGGAGTGTAGCCASGGGTCTGTACAGCCCCTGGTTCAGAGGAGACCCATCCTGAGTGTCTGCTCTTGTAGGCGGGGATGTAGAACATAAATGGGACTATCGGTGCTCTTTGGCTCTCTCTGCTGGCTGCTGTGCACCCCCTTCTTCAGCTCATCTGCCCTAGGGGGTCCCCCCACATTKCCCCCTCTCAGCAGCAGGGCATGGGGACAGAGCAACAGGGGAGGAAATACTGTATTTGAGCCCCTGGGAAGAGCCACAGACTGGAAAATAGGAAGGAGAAGAGACATCAGTGAAAATTTACAAAAGAGCCTCACAAAGATGATAGCTGGTTTCTAGGAGCCCCAGCATCCTTTCCTTCCTTCAACCCCAGTCCTGAGCAAAAGCACTGATTTTCCTGGAAGGCAGGGCACAGAGCCAGCACTGTGTGAGGGAGCTGGGAAGAAACCCCTCTGCTCCGGGGACATAGTGGCACCAGGCTGGCTTGTACYTGGGCCATGAAGGATTCTCTGACTTCTGCTCAGCCCCGGAGGGAACCTGCCTAACAAGGGCTGAAGCAGGAGCAAGGGACACCTGGGGACACATCCAGGGATGACTTTGTCACTGCGGCAGTGCTCGAGACAGAGTGTTTCCTTACTGAGAGCGCAGGAGTGTGGCAGGGGACAGGCTGCAAGCAAGGACGAGGTGGCAGCGAGAGCATTAGGGGGATGCTCTGGAGCTGCGTGCAGCACCACGTCTCTCCCTTCCTGCTCCTGCAAGGAACACACTCTGCTTTTGGGGGCACCTTTTTGTTCTCTCTCAGGGCATCTTTCCGTAAGGACATATGAAGGACCATCACAAGCCATTAGCTTTCTGTCACCTGAATGACTTTCAGCTCCACTTGTGTGAGTTTCTTTGTTAGACGATGTTAGAAATCTTAGTTTATGGCACAAAACAGCTGCTTTTTTTTTTTTTTTTTTTTTTTTTTTTGCTGTCTATATAAGAAAGAAATGAATTTTGTGGGGTATTTTTCTGAGACCCTGTTAATATTATGCATTGTGCAAGTAATTTATGGGGTAAATCTCCTGAGGTTTGTGTCCAAAAAGCTCTTTTAAGGTGCTAACAGCATGTGGCCAAACTGTTGTTCTAGGATAAGTAATTAGGTGTTGACAAAAAGTACCAAATGATTCACTAATAAAACAAACACAAAAGAGAAGAAAATACTCATTGTAACGTAGATTTATTACATTATTTCAGTGAGAATCTGTCAAAGAAACAGAAAATGTTCGAAGAGGAGAAAAGTACAGTCTGTTCCGTTATCACAATAACTTTTATTACCTAGGTATAGCTTTTCACCCTGGTCAATAGACATCCTGCTGCTCTGTGTTTGGAGAATTAGGACAGTTGCAGCAGCAAGTGATTCTTTCCAAATACCTGTTGCCCACCCATATAGGGGGAATGGAGGTTGGGAAGAATCAAAGGGAAGGAGATTCCTGTGGTGAAAGCAGAGGGGACTCCAGCTGTGCCGCAGCGCAGCATCTGTGCTCCTGGACGTGGAAATGAGACAGGGCTAATTCTGAGATTTCCTGTCCAAGTGATGCCTGTTGAAATAGCTAAGACAARCCCAAGGGTTTTCCTAGGAGTTTACAGGGAGGTTTAAACACAAAAGCGAGCTGGTGTCAGAGTGAGCTGTTAGGGAGYGCAGCGTGTGCCGGGACACGATGGTGGAGGTCAGTGTCCCACAGAGTGTCTAACGGCGACAGTCATCCCGGAGCTGCCGGGAAAGGCAGCTCCCAATGTATGGGAAGCGGCTGAGTCACCACATGTGCACCGAAGAGAGTGAATCTCAGCCGAGGTGTCCAGCCAAAAGAAGGATCTGATGCCAGAGCTGACTCAGGCTATGAAATTTAGACCCCCATTAAGTATTACTTGTGGACCACAGCAAGGACTATTTCAACTTGTTCTGCCTTTACATTAAAAAAAAAGCAGAAGACTGACCTGTTTGCTAGGGTGAATGACCCTCCCTCGCGTCATTACTAGGAGAGTTTACTTCCAGAGAGGGCTGAAATCATCGCTGATTTCCCATTAAAGGGAAGACTGTTCCCAGGCCTTATACAATCTTTTCTGGTGTTCATTAAATGCAGCCCTTTGATTGGCATCTTCAAGGCCTTTTTTTTTGTGATTCCTCGCAGACATTTCCCAGCACTGCCTCAGACAAAGCACTGGGTTCAGGATACCTGATGGAGCAGGGATTGCTCTGGGTCTGCTGATGACACCAAGTGCAGCAGAAGAGATGAGTTCTACATGTGCATCACAACCCCTCTCCCCAACTCCACCTCCAATTCAGTACATCCTCAGCCTCCCAAAGCAGAGATCTCACTCAACAACACTTGAAAGCTCCTCTGGTGCAAGAGCTGACCATAGTTGCATACTCTCAACCCGGTTTTCATCTTATCTAGCAAGAGTCTTCCTAGTGCAAGACACTGTGCAGTGGCTCAGCTTCATGCCTGTGTAGTCAGGGATTAAATATAGCCATTTAATCTCTTTAGCCCATAATTCCCATCTCTCAAAGAGAAGCAATACATCTTGCTTTGTCTTTCCAGACATTTTAGCTCTGCAGAGCAAGACTGTCCCTTGCATTGTGCTCGTGCAGCTCCCAGCAGCAGCAGGGATGGTTGGTGCTGCTTCAGTACAGTTGCACATGGTGATGCTGTACCTTAATGCCCAGGACGCTGTCTTACAAACCTCCAGGAAGCCCTGAGCTGGCTGAAGAAGCAGGTTTGTCTTTCTGCCTCTGAACTGAAGACATTCACTCAAGCCGCCAGCAGTTTATCTTCATTAAGCTTTGCAGATGCTTCTGTGTCGTGATGCCAGCTGCACTCCTGAAGCTTGCTGGTGCCAGAGCATGCGAATCATTCCGCATTTCGTTCTTGCTTGTGCTTGAGGATCTTCTGTACCCCTATATGCAACGGGTTTCACTCTAATGACTGGCAGGATTAAGCATCCCTCAGAGCACTGTGTGAGCACAGGGACAAGAAGAACCTCAGACAAGTGGTGGTCTATTTATATCCCATGAAAGATGGACTCAGCACATAAGGATACTCAAACTCTTGGCACCTCTAGCTTCTTCCAGTTCCTCCAGTTCCTGTCTTAGGGCTCTCTCAGCACTGAAGAATCAGCTGGTTTTCTTGGAAGCTCTAGGGAATCTTTGCTAAGGCAGGAGTGAGTGAGTGAGTGAGTGAGTGAGTGAGTGAACGAGCGAGCGAGCGAGCGAGCGAGCGAGGAGTGTGGATGGGGAATGCTCTGCTTCAGCAAATCCCCTGAAACTTATTCCCTTAATGATACACAGCAGCAAAGGGACCAGTGCAAGCTGGGACTGTTGCTCTCTGCTCAGAGAGCCTCTCTCCACACTAAGGGACCCCTTTTCTCATTCCTCTGCCCTCTCACGAAGATGGGTTAATCCTGCAGTCTCCTGAGCTGCACCAGCCACAGGAGGCCAGGGTGTAAAGAGCATGTCCCCAGCACCAGTCACCACAGGTGCCTTCTCCTGCCACCTCGAGAGCTGTGAGAATCACTGTCCCTTTCTGCAGGCTCAAAGACCTCCCAGTCTTCCCAGCAGAGAAAAGAGCTGCCAACCCAGAATGAAGACAACAGCACATGATCCATCAAGTATGATGTCYCACGCAGAGTCATGTTCAATGCAAACCTAAGGCAACTTAACCTGCACTTAACTGGGAAATCTGCATCTGTATGGGTTCATGCCCAGTTCATGGCCCATGAAGAGCTCCTAAAGATCCTCTGCTCTTAGCCTGCCTCTCAGAAATGAGGACTACAAGATGTTTGTAATCTTTACTACTTGGTGATGGATTGTCATCAAAATGGCACTTGTCTCACATGCAGGATCATATTCTACATCTCTAACTCTCTCAAGATCATGCAAGCCACAAGTCAGGATGGCTAGAAAGAGAAGAGACTTTCTGGAAAATGTCGAAGAATCTCTTTTCCATTGAGAAAAGTGCTTCCTTTTTCCTGGCGGCATTTCCCATCTTTTTGGACCTTCTAACGTTGCTGTTAATGATGACGTAGTGTGTAGGAAATCTGCTGCAGAGGCTGATCGAAATGGCTTTAACAACCTGTTTCTGCATGGATGCAAAGCCTACCCCCTGCACGGAAGGACAATGGAAAGCTTTCTGAAAGGGTTTTAGAAGCGGGGGATGTTACGTAAGGAAAATACGCCAGAAGAAAAACGCATTTTTGGTATTTGTGGTGCTGAGTGAATAATGTATGTGTCAGGTAGACTTATACCATGAATCCTGCTCATGATCCCTGTCACCCGTAGTGCACAGCTGGGATGTACTGGGACGTCTCTGGTCATGCGGGTAAACTCTCTGGGCTGGAAGGAGGACAGCAGTGCCAGCGTTGTGGATTTGACTCAGCCRCAATTACAAGCATTTTCTGTTTTACATACCACTGTGCCTCTAGGTCCCTCAGGAAAATCCTGGCAAAGAAAACTTGCCCTAAAAATACATGGTTTATGTGTGAGTGTGTGTATGTATGTGGATGCTGTACGGCTGGTTGCTGTTGCTGCCCAGAGGTGGGTGGCATTTCAAAAAAGTGACTTAGGYTTTCTCAGTGACCAACAACTCTCAGCATCACCATTTGAAACATAAACTTTATTGCAACAAGGAATTAAAAATAGTACATCTGAGAGAGTTGCAGAGTGCATGTCATTAAAGAACTAGTCGGAAATCACAACTCAAGCAAATCGTATACAATTGGAACAGAAAGTTTTATTAAAACAACTTGAAATCAAACTCAAATTTTCCTTGTTTAATTTCGCCATAACCATGGATTGTGTATTTACAGTCTTCGCCTCTTGTGGTGAAGGTTCTGCTCAGGRTTGGGGACAAGGAAGAAGACAAGGATGGATGGGGAGGAGAGGTGGGTTTCAAAAGCTAACAGGATGTGAATGTTTTCCAGAAGAAGTTCTTGCAGCCTGCTTTGCGTTCCCGGGGTGCCAAAGCAGGGTTTGAGTTCGCCGAACGCTCCAGCTCCAGTCTCACTTCATCCTGCTCAGCCCCTCGGGACAAGTCCTCGGACTCCAGGGCTTCATTTTCTGTCTGGCTTGGCTCTGAGAGCAGTTCTGCCAAAAAGTACTTGGCCAGTTCCTTCAGGAAAAGAGAAAGAAAGAGGGAGAGGAAAAGAGAGAGCACAGTTAGCCTTTAAGGTTAGGAGACTCAGCGCTGTGCATCCCTCTGAAGCACCTTTACACCAAGATTAGAGACATACGCAACTCCCAAAGAGGACGTCTTTCATCTTTCAAAAGCCACCTTTCAAAAGAGCAGCTATTAGGCAGCAGCTGTGCCTACAATTTAAGCCACAGAAAAGCACCAAGTACCTCCGTTGTGCACCTGGCTTCTCAAAGAAACCAATGTCCTGGTTGTGGCAGGGAAGTCCGTGCACCACCCTGCCTCCTCTTCCACATCCAGTGGTCCCTCTCACCGGGCTGAGCTCAAGGATGCTGCTGCAAAGCTGAACCTTACTTCTAACGTGACATGGGGTAGGTCTTTGGGAAAGCCACTGAGCAGCGAAGTGAGTGCAGTGCTCACAGGTCGGGCTGAAGAGGGACCCTCTTGCTGGCAGCTATTTTTCTCTTTTCCCTTCAAATCCTGGCTGCCTCCAGGCCATGGCTGGAGACCCTCCCCACCTCCCCGTCAGCATCTTCCCTGTTCAGCACCGCGGATCACCCTGGAGCTCCACCAGGCTCTGCTGCTTGGTTCCCCCAGCACCCGACCGGGACTGGGGACATCCCTCCCTACCCCAGCCCGTCCAGCTCGCCTCCGTGTCGGGCAGCTCCGGCAGGGAGACGGGGTGCGCAGTGGGGAGCAGGGGGGCTGCAGCGGGGAGCGGGGGTCTCCGCCGGGGTGCCCGGGAGGTGCCGCGCCGGGGGTGCCCGCAGCCCGCCCCGTCGCGGGGCTCTCACCTGCTTCCCGGCCGCGGCAGCCAGGGACTTCTGCAGGAACTGCCGGAGCCGGGGGTCCGAGGGGGCGGCCGAGACGGTGCCGAGGGCCAGGGCGAGGGAGAGCAGGGCCAGGGCGCACTGGAGGCGGCACGACAGCATCTCGCCGGCGGCTGGGGCGCGGAGAGGCGGCTGCGGGGCGGCGCGGGCGGCTCCGGCTCCGGCGGTGGGGATCTCCGGGCCGCGCGGCCGCCTTTAAAAACCCTCCTCGTGACGTCAGGGCGGGGGCGCCCCCCTCGGCCCGCGCCGCCGGGGGTGGGTCCCTGCCCGGGGACCGGGGGGGCCGGGGATGCTCCGCTCAGCTGCGGGGCCGGCCCGGMGCCCACGGTGCCCTCCGGGACCCACGGAAGGGGGAGGAAGGGGAGAGGGGGTTCTTTGAACTGCCACCCCCCGGGGGAGGTCTGGATACCCCCCCCTTTCCCTCTTCCCCCCACCCTTCCCAGTCTGGAGCCCCTCCAGAGCGGTGGAGGGGACATCCTGGCTGTGCACAGCCCTGCTCGGGGGTCTGATCTCCCAGTGCGTCTCCTTCCACGATGGTTGGGAACCCAGGGGCTCCTGTGCCACWTCCCCCGGCTCTCGCTGCCCCTTCTCTCCCCAGACTCAGTCACGTAAGGAACATCTGCAGAGTCCAGGAAACCACAAAAGGTCCTCAGGTCCCCTGGAGGGTGCATTGCTCCCCAGTTCTAGCMGGCAGTCACTCTCCATCCCTTCTGCCTCTGGAGCCTCTGTAGGGCTCTGGGACACTGGTCCTTGCCCGCCACCCAGGCCAGCTCTGTCCTTGCCTTCCRGACAATCCTCTTGCAGCCCACAGCCTGGCCAGAGAGCATCCAGCCCTGAGATATCTCAGGAGATCAGGAAGGCAGTGCCAAAAGATGCCTCGGGGGGCTTGCAGATTCCCAGATGGACCTGCAGGGCACATGGTACCCCCAAACCCACTCCAGGGACATTAGATTTCAGGATAAATCAAGTCTTACTGGATAATAAAAATCCCTCAGAGTTCCAGCCCATCCTCATGGATCATCTGGTGCCCCACTAGGGACAGATGCTGCAAACCCCTAACACCCCGAGAGCTGCACCTCTCCATTCATCTCCCACCCATCCTGGCAGGTGGCAGGGGCAGAACAGATTGTGCAAGGAAGGGTGCCCACTACCCTCCAGACATGGCAGTATCAGTAGTTTTCAAGCACAGTGCAAGGCTCTCCAGAAATCTCCAAAATGGTATCTTCAGTTTGCATTTCATTAACCAGTCCTCCAGCTCCCAAGCCCCCCAGAACCCAGTGCTGCTGACTGGCCGTGCAGAGGCTGGGTGCATGGAGCAGATATCAAGACATTTCTGCTCTACCTTGGAGGCCAGCAAGAGCAATTGGTTCTGGCCATTGGCTAGGAGACTGGAGCCTTGGGAAGACCATACCTCTCTCATCTCTCTGCAGACATCTGCAGCCTTCCTCAGCTCTCCAGGAAGCCCTGTGGGGTTCCTTGGCTTGGGCTGCTTTCACAGATATCCCGCCTTGTGTCATCCCTGCCTGCCTGACCTGAGAAGGACCAAACCCTGTGCTCCTGGGAACGCATTGGTCACATGTTAGAAGGAGCTGGAGGAGAAGAGTCAGCCCTTACCGACCACTTGGGCACATTCCCTTGCTTCAGGTTGCAKACACAGGACACACTCTCCTGCCAAGACCAATGGGTGTGATTTGGACCCAGGAAGAGCCTGGGGAGTCCTGGGCATAGTCCTGGGCAGCAGATGCCAGGGCAGCTAACCTACCCTTGCTTTGCCAAAACCCTGCACGACCAGGTTGGCCCCCGTTGCCTTCAAGGGGGATTTTTAGGGGTGATTTCTCCTAGCAGCAGCCGTATTTTACCTGCTGGGTCCCCCAGTTTTCCTGCATTGGAAAAGGTTTGGTCTTGTAGCCCCCAGGCCTTCCTTCTTGGCACAGCCCAACACAGATGTGCCCCTATCGCAATGCCTGGCCAGCAGGGTTGTCTCTAGGATGCTTCTGTGGTCATACTGGTATAAAATGGATGGGATCTCAGATTCAAGCTCTCTGGGGAACTTTGAGAGGCCATTCTTCATATCCTGCTGCAACTCTGTGCCCCACTCTTCTCCAGTTACTTGCAGCTCCTCTGTCTGCATGGGCTCAGCCCTGCAAAAGGCTTTTAGACTGGTTCCGTTTCCTGATGGCCCTTGTCCTAACCCACTCATTTGCTCTTATTCCAGCATCCTTTCACRCGGATCCTGCCCTATCAATCTTTCCTGATGTCTCCAGGCAGTCTCCAGGCAGATGCCTGGAGAGCRGTATGGTAGCATGGGGTTTTGGGCTAGGAGCAATGTCCCTCCAGTTGGAGAGATGTGTGGTCTCTTCAGGCTTGTCCCAACCAAGCACAGGCCCTCAGACGCTTTGGGGATGTCTGATTTTGATGGTGGCCCTTCCAGCCACATGGGAACAGCGCTGAAATCCAGATTGTCCGTGACTCTGCCAGGTCCTGAGCAGCTGTGCCCCTGCTCCCACCTCCACCTGGGACCGGCTGTAGGAATTGTGCTGATGCCTTCTAGCAATAGGAAAAATACCCGCTCAAGGAAATGTCCTGGGTTTGGCCCACTGGACTTCAGACATTTCACTGAGAAAGCAAAGATAGATTTGTTTGCTGTTCCCTGATCCTGTGCCCCATCAGGAGATGACTTGGCCCCTGAAAGACGAGAGCCTCAGGTGGGGTCTAACTTTTCTTTGGGCCATTTTCCCCTCCTGTGATTAATGTGAGATTGTGCAGCTGGTGGAGGAAGGACTAGAGACAGGAKCTGGTGGGAAGGTTCTTTAGAGATGTCTGGACCTGTTCTAAAGGCGAGAAACTTAGTTCCTATCAGAACTAAGCATCATTCCTGGATAAAATGTTGGGACAAGAAAAATTCTTGGTGCCTGTATGTGGAATTTGGGAGAATCACCCTGATATTCTCCAGATGAAAAGTTTACCATTTCATTTGAAAAAAGACCTAAAGGATAAAGGACCTAAAAATACTGTTTAACTGAAGATGAAAACATACACTTGAAAGCAGAAAAGCCATCTTGTGCTGACCTGAAGGAAACAAACAGTGGGGGAAAGGAGAAAGACGATCCAGCTACCTCATACCCCTCCTGATGYGGTCTCCTTGGGAAAGGTATGGCCAGAGCAGGAGATTTCTCTGCACCTTCCGTCCTGCCAGGGAAGGTGTGATGAAGGTGCAGATCCATTTACCACCGCCCCTTCCTGCAGCTCCTCTTTGGGATCAGCATGTTCCAGACCTTTTCCAGTTCATTCCCCAGCCAGATAAATCCATCATCCCCTCAGCTGCGGTGACAACGACTGCTCCGTTCTTTCTGCCGCAGCGCTGCGGGGCTTTGCAGACGATTGAGTTGCACTGAATTCCTGTGCCTGCCTCCTTACACCCAAGTTCCCAGCCTGTTCCACAATCCCGAGCAGGCTGGCGCTCCGTGGCACCAAGCGCGCATCCCGCACTCGAGCTGGCAAAGCGTGCCCTCTGCTGTCACCAAGGCCACAACACTGCCTCTCTCCAAAGCATCGCCTACCAAATGCTCTTTGGACTCTCTCAGCTCCATGTCACTGCCTTGCAAGCAGGGAAAAGAAAGTTTTTCTTATACTGCAGCACCTTCCACTGCTGAGCTGCAATCAGGGCCACAATATCCCTCACCTGCGGGAAAACCCTGTTTCTGGAAGCACAGCCTGCTCTGGAGAGTCGTAAAGGAACCCACCAAAGCTCTAYATCTCTTGCAACTTGCTGCAGTGGTAACAGAGGAATTTCCTGCTTGCAGAGGTCTGGTGCTGCCCTAGATGAGCGTGGGAAGTGCAATTGGTCCTGCCTGAATGATACTGAGAAATAAGAGCTAAACAAGGGAGAGAAACTGCTCCTGACACGGTGACTCCCCGGGCCAGCCATGGGGCCAACAGCGGCTTGGGAAGGCATGAGGAATTACAAGAGCCCTTTGCAGGATGCCAGGGACAGACCCAGCTCTGTGGTGTGCACCGGGTTCCCCCTTCTGCTTTTTGAAACGATGATCACCATACCTGGATTAAAACCAAAAACAACAACAAAAACAACAAAAAAGCCCAACAAATCCCTTTGACACTGTGCATTGGCACATTATTTCCCACAGGTGGAAAAAAAAAGGCTCTTTAACAAATCCCATCAAAATAAAGTGCCCTAGAGTCTGTGTGAGTGTATGAGCTGAGATCACAYCCCGCTGCCTGGCTGTGCACACACTCCACAACAGAGAGATGCTGGTCCATCTCGTGGCCAAACTGTGCCATGTCCCCCCAGTCCACACGCTCCGACTGCGGCCTCCAGTTGACATTCCCTGGAAGCCACAGCCTTCAGCCTCAGCTAGGACCACACTCACCCCAAAGCGCAGACTCACACCCGAAGCTGGCGGGTCGGTATTTGGAGGCTTGGGACGAGGTCTGGGGACAACGCTCCGTTTCTCCAGCCCAGCTTGGGCACCGGGGTGCGCGGCTCCTGCTGAAGCCGCAGCCTCGCCTGCCCTCTCGTGGGTAGCGGACACATTACACGGGATCCTGGCAGCTCCAGCGCCCGCGACCCCGATCCACGGGGCGCAGCCAGTTGTGCAAAGCAAGAGGAAAAGTCCTGCAAAGCCGCCAAAACAAATAAAGCACAAATAGTGTCACCAAGTCACGCTATGCCGCTGAGGCCAACATCTGCATTTTCGAAAGGTGGGGCTTATTGTGCCTACCTTCCTTATCATAAACAGTGTAATTTTATCTTAAATAGTCTATTTTTTTTGCTCAGTGCAAGTTTTTCAGCACCAAAGCTAGGCCAAGGAACTAGATGGCTGCTAAGTGCAACAAAGCTGGGCCAAAGCACTTCAGAGCATTGCTGCTGACACCCCAACGTGCTGCTCAGCCCCAGAAGAGCTGGAATATAATTTCTTTGCTGGATTTGCTGATAACCTGGTCCAAGAAGTAAAATGGGGAAATAACTGGGAGTAAATTGTGTTATGTTCAATGTAGAAGAAATTAAAAGGGAAAACTCCCCCATGTCCTCATGTTTTAGGCATGTCTTTACATAGGAGGAGGTGGAAATGGCTAACAAAGAAAACTACTCCAGCATGTTCCGGGATGTTTCCTAGAAAGCACACGGTTAATCAGTTCAGTAGAGGTATTCCTTCGGAGGCCTGGGAAGAGCAACCCCCTGCATCAGCTCCCCGGCTCTACCAGCTCCCCGGGCGCGGGCTCTGCACCCCAACAATTCCATAGCGCAGATGGAAGGCCGAGCGCTCCCTTGTCCCTGCAAACACTGCGAGCGCTGAGCGCCGCTCGCCAGCAAGCACCGGCCGTGCCAGCTGCCCGCAGACCTCTGCCCCACGGAGAGCGAGGAGGAGATTCCTACCGCGTCAGCTGAGCTACCGGGAAAAGCCATGAGATCATTGTTAGAGAGAAACAGAAAATAACTGCCAGGAGGAGGGATGAGCTATGATCCCAGGATCCAGGAACAGACAGGATTTATTTTGCAAGTGCATCTGAGGAATCCAGTGGGAAATGGAGGTTCCCGATATGCAGCTTGTTGGAAGCGGGGGAGATCACCCCAACTTGCAAACATGATGATKTGAGCAGCTGGAGAGGTAGAGGACCCGAGGACAGCGAGTTCCTCACGGAGAGGGGAGGAAGCGAGATGAGTGTCCCGAAGGACACGTAAGCGCAGGCACGAGCCCAGCCAGCCTTATTGAACACCAGCAAACCCAGAGGGCACGGAGAGGGGAAGGAAAGGCAGCAGCGGGGCTGCAAAGCAGGCTTTCCTGTTCCCATCACTCATGCAACGCCCCATTTGGGGGCATTTTCCCCAAATTGCAGTCTGACAATTGTAAGACAGGGAAGCAGCACAGGAAGGGAGGTTTAGGGGTGAGGAGCTCCCTGCACAAACTGGGGCTGCCCTTGCCAACCCTCTGCTCTGCCTTATTCCCAGGAAAAGACGTGTGCTATGTGGGATGGGATGTGCCTGTACATGCAGGCCCACTCCAAGTCTTCTTCTTTCCGCCTATGTCCCATGGTGCATGAGAAATTCTCCTCTCACCCTTGACCATTGATCAGCTGAACTCTCCTCTTCCCACTAATATTTCAAAGCACTCAACTGCCATCCTCCCTTGAGCCCTGCACTAAGTGATCCGTGAATTAACATGTAAGTAAAAATGAAATAGAACATATCCAGGTCAGACCTCTCTGACACATCAACCCCATTGTCCTGCTCCACACCCGCTCCAGTTGCAGCCAGTGCAGCCGGGACAATTCAGAGGCCTCCTTACCTTTCTGCAAGCAGCGCAGCACGATGAGCACAGCCGTGCTGTGCATGTGGCCCAGGGACACAGGGGAGCTGCTGGAGGGGGCTGCACATCCAGCATCCCGAGCCCTTGCTGAGCTGCCAGCCCCATCCATCGGTGGTGGAAAGGGGCAGCGTTTCTCCGTGAGCAACCTTGGCGAGTGCACCAGTTCCCAGCCATCTGGAACCACCCTTAGGACACCCAGTAAGGGTCTTGCCCTGATGCTTGTTTGGCACAATCACCCAAAATACCAAGTGGGAGGTAGGAGATGGTGACGTGCTCACCAAGACCCAGCACAGTGATCTCAAGACCTACCCCAGCCTGGTACCAGAAGCTACCTCATCTCAACCCAACTGCAAGCAGTAGAGCATGTGCGGTAAAGGAGACAGCTCTTGGCTTTGCCAACTGCCCACCCATCAACAGCTTTGCCTGTTGGAGATCCTCATGGCCAAGAGTCTTAGGGAAAAGCAGGGATTGATGGCTAAGATGTTTCAGGAGAAGCACGGACAAGAACAGAACTCCCACTCCATCATACATCGCTTTTCTTCATTTTATTCTTTTATTTGTACAGCTATATTTTACAGAACGCATTAATGCAGTTTAGACACAGCCCAAACCCTGTCTCCCGAGATTGTTTATAACACAAGCATGTAAAATAAGACCGGAAAACAAAAACAAAACAAAAAAATAAAACATTCCCCAATAGAGAGTTCCACCAAAACTCCTTTTGCAACGTCAGGCTGTACCTTGAAGAAACTGAGCTCAATATAGTCCATACATTGAAAACTTCCATTGAAAAGAAAGGCACCGTGCGAAACCACATTTTACATATATACAGACTGAGAACTAGAACAAAAAAAAATTACACTTTATTATTATTTTAAATTCCTTCTGCAGCTTTGTTGGTTTAATACACACTTTTTTTGTAAATTGTAAACCTTCACTTGCAAAAAAATACAAATACACTGATGCATTTAGACAAAATATTTTCTTACTTGTACAGATGCAATACTTTAAAATATCTTGTTAAGTGCTCTATCATAATAAAGATTCTCAGAGTGGCTTCTGCCTGCAGAGTCCAACTGAGCCTTTAATGCATTTTATATATTTTTAATATAGCTTTTTTTAAAGGTCTATATATATTTATTATATATATATTTATATATTTATATCTATATATATTTACAACTCTGCCATAGATTCCTTCACCTTTGGTTAAAAAAGTTAAAGCCCTCTCTGTAATAGCATACTTTCTCTTTAAAAGAACACACATTTTGCATACAAAAGAAAAAATCTGTTCCCATAAATCAACATTACATTCCTCATCTTCAAACGGCAAAGGCTGTGAAGGTTAGACTCCAGAGTTTATCAACACTCCACTGCACAGACATTTAAAATGACTATTTTTTATTTTCATGTTTTATATACAATAAGATCTGAATAATTTTTATTTTAGTTTCACATAACTGGGAAAAAAAATAAAACCCGTGTATTTTTTCCATTTCTAATTTTTTTTTTCCTATCTGCACTATGGGTTTAGAGGCACTCCATCATATGATGATTTTTTTTTTCTTTTTTTTTTTCTTTTTCTTTTTTCCTTCTTTTTTTTTAAAGTGTTGCAAGTATCCTTTGGACAGCTTCCCACGCCAATGCGCGCGGGGGCCTCAGCACGCCTTGGGGAGCTCCGGAGGCACCTCGGTCGCCGAGACGCGGTACTGCACCTTGGTGTTGGTGATGGCCCCGTGCTTCTGCCGCAGGTGCAGCCGCAGCTGGCTCTTGTGGCGGAAGTGCAGGTTGCACTTCTCACACTGCGGGGGCGAGACGCAGAGCGGGGAGCGTGAGATCCGCGGTCCGGCTGCGCCCTCGTGGACCCCCGACCCTCGCGGGGGACCTCACTTCAAGCCCTTGCACCCAACCACAYGCTGCAGTGCAGATGCAACCCTGCACATTGAGTTTTAGGAGATGCACAAGGGCCAAGGCCACTCTGCACAGGACACTGKCTCCCCAGGCTCCTTCGCCTCAGTGCTCCAAGGGCTCTGCCCTGACACCCATGCACGGCAAGAGGGGGTAATTTAAGCCCACAGCTATTTGGAGAAGTGTGACCTTCTTCCAGAAGAGGTGAGAGGAACAAGAGCAGCTAAGATGTACCCAGGGCTGAGACGTGTGTCAGAATCGGAGCCAGTTTCCAGCACGGACAGTCGTGACAAAATACCACACTGGCACCAGCTAATGTGTGAGCAAGGGACAGGGCACAGGGAGCAAATTTGACCTTGGCAAATGGCCTTGTAGGGCCCCACAAGGCAAGTGAAGGGTGCCCAGGGGGCTGGTGCTGAGCCAGGTCCATGCAAACACCCAAGCGCCTGCCCACCCATTGGGTTCGGGAGGGCTCCCTCCCTGCCGCGAGCTCCCGCGAGGCGCAGGGTCACTCACATGATAGGGCTTCTCTCCCGTGTGGATTCGAAGGTGACTTTTGAGGGTCTGCAGATGCCGGAAGCGCGTGCCGCAGATTTCGCACGGGTAGGGTTTCTCCCCGGTGTGAATTAGCACGTGAGCACGGAGATGGGCCACCTGCGGGAGAGCAGCGGGTTACAGGAACAGCCCTGGAAGGGGCAGGGGGTCCCGGAGGAGGGGTCTGATGGTTGGTCTCAACCAGTCCACCCTCCTATCAGAACAGCCCAAATCCTGGCTGCGATTTCAGCTGCTCAATCCTTGCTTGGACAAAGCTCAGAGAGGGCTTTTATTTTTCTGTACGTTCTAGCTGGCAGTCAGAGCCACAAGGGTCTGAGGTCTCCAATCCATAACAGGAAATGGAGGAGAGACATTAAAAACAGAAATCAGATTTCTTAGCAAACCAGCAAATCAGCCCTCTAGGAGCTCCAAGCTCCTATCATTTCATGGAACGGGGGTTGGCAGGTCTTGGACAGGAGCTCCAAGCTCCTAGCATTTCATGGAAAGAGGGGTGGCCGGTCTCAGACAYGAGCTTGGCCATCTCCACCTGCCCTGAGCCTGCAGGCCCCACCAGCAACACACACCTGGACGAAGCGGGCTCCGCACGTCTCGCACTTGTACGGTTTCTCGCCGGAGTGGATGCGCGTGTGGGTTTTCAGGTTGGCCGGCCGGTTGAACTGCGCCCCGCAGATGTTGCAGCGATACGGCTTTTCCCCTGTGGAACCAGGAGAAAGGCAGCGGGGATAAACACCAGCTCGCTTAGCCCGTGTGCCAGAGCACTCTCCAGAGCTGCTGCCCCTCTCCAGGCACCAACCCTCTGGCACAACCTGCAGCTCCAAGTCCTACAGCTTGTGTTGGAGCTCAGCAGCYGGCAGGTCAGCCCAGGACATCCCCAGAGCTGGGCACAGCGTGGGAGCGAGCTGGGCATTGCGGAGCCTGCCCGCCGGCATGCGCTGCACACGGGTATTTTTAGCTGGGAAGCCCAGGCAGGAGCAGCCTCTGCTCCCCCGCTCCTCCCAGGGACAGAGGGTTATGCCACTATTGTCTTCCTTGGGTTGGGAGGTGCAGCCTTGGATGTGAAAGAAGACGTTGACCACCTCTGCCAGTGAGGATTAACAATTTCACCCCTCCTGGCCCAGCAACAGCCTGGCACACGGGACTTCTCCACATCCATGACTAAAACATGCAGAGCCGCCCGGCTCAGTTCGGTCTCCTAATGGTCTTGAGCACATCCCGTCTCAATTGTTCATCCCCTCTTTAGAGGAGCCAGAAGAGCTGATAGAGAGGAAAGCCAAGGCACGCCCAGCAACAGCACTCCCAAGCCATTATTTAGTCAAAGTCACTGCTGTGAAGCCCCAGCTGACTTTCTCACCACCAGCAGAGAGTTGCAAAAAGATCTCAATTGAGTTTCTTTAGGATGGACAAAGCTGGGCTCAGCAGGGAGTGGGCACACACATTGTTTCTCCTCCTGCCATGTCCTTTTGTTTTGATTCAACAACATCAGGGCATTCAGTTCTTTCCAGATGTATCCAAAAGACCTGGAAGGCCCAGGGGACTTCTGCCTCCTCACACCTTCAAACCCTAGCCCAGCAAATACATTGTTTTATTAATCTGCACAGGCCTCATCAAGCTTAAGTGAGACTCYAGGGCATAATGTCAAACTGAGTACAGCAACACTGAGTTTTTAGCACAGACTTCCCTTTCTCAGCATGTAAATTGTTTGATGTCATGTTAACCATTAATGAAAGCAAGAAAAAAAMCCCACGTTTGTCAGCAAATGACTAAACTCTTAATATTCTGTTCCTTTCTCAGCTTTCATTGGATGTACTCTCTGTGAATTGGTACATTCACTGATTTTCCTATTGGCAGAGTTTCTGCCAGGCTTCATATGATCTGAATTTCTAAGATATAGGGGGGTGGGGGAAAAGGTTTCTCCCTAACTGAGCTTTTGAATTCTTCTTTTATCCATGAAAAATAATCCAAAGGGCACAAGTCTGCTCCCAGCCATGAGTTTTGCTGCTGCCAAAACAGCAGCACCTGGTGCTATAAAGCAACTAAGGTCCAGTCACCCTACGAGGCAGGGCAGCATTTCCCCTAAGCCAAAGCCCAGGCAGGTTCAGCTCAGCCCAAGAGCAGCATCCAGGCTCCCGGGCAGCACTGAGGAAAGCATTTGCAGCAACACACCAGCACCTGGCTCTCTCCAGCACAGACAACTAGTGACACAGAGCAGGGAACGCCACAGCCATGAACACCCGAACACAACAGCCCAGCAGCTCAATATCTCCCCAGTAGGTCCCCCCAAGGCCGATGCCGTACCCGTGTGGACGGTTTTGTGGCTGGCGAGGTTCCCCTTGTATCGGAAGGAGGCCTGGCAGCGATCACACTTGTAGGGCTTATCGCTGTGCACTTGCAGAGAGTGTCTCTTGAGAGAGGCCTCTTCGGAGAACCGGCAGTCACACTCGTTGCAGAAGAAGGCTCCGTTCTCTGGGAAGGCAGAGAGAAGAGCAATGAGATGGGCCATCTGGCACCTCGGTAGGCCATGGTCTGGGGTTCTGCTAGAGAGGGACAGCCGACACAGCCAGCACTGGAGCAATACGCTGAGCCCGGATGTCTGAGGTCAGCAGCACTTGCACCATGCTATTACAGCCGCAACCTCCCTGCACACAGAGCAAGAACACGTGTGGCTTAGGAGGGCACAGTAATCCCTGGCCACCTCTCCTTCAGGGTGACAGGAGCTACCGCTTATTAAAGCTGCTCCCACAGCACAGGAAGTCAGGCATCTCACCTAGGTATACGTCAGGGAGGTCTACAAAAGCACCCAACTACCAGGCATCCTCCAAAGGATGCATGCTCAGCCCTGGAGCAATTCCAGCTCCTGTAGAGGCCTTAAACCTTTACGTGCACAGATGTCTTCCCTGAGCACAGGAAGATCATCAGCATTTAGAGCTCCTGGCAGGTCCCCTCTACAAAGGTATCTAACTCGTAAGTGCTTTAGCCTTGAGCATCATCAGACCTGAGTTCCCTTTGTTGATCTCATCCCACACCGCAGGAAAACAAACAATTCCGTATTCCCCCTCCCTGAGCTACAGGCAGATGGGTGCAAAGATACTTGTCTATGGGCCTGTGGAATTTTGCAAGAGGATTGCAAGTCTAATTATCCGTGTTTCTCCAGATGTGCACATTGGGCTCGCCGATAATGAAGATACCGTGACGGATGAGTGAGACACACTGTATTGCCCAATCTCTATTAGGGTCATTACATCTGCCAAGCTTGTTCTCCTGTGGTTCTGCTGGGGTGGGGTGTACCTCGTTTCCTGTCCTTAGCTGCCAAGGTAGCAGCAGGTGACTAACTTCTCACACCAAGTGCCTAGATGGTGTTGGGAGGGGAAAGCCAGAAGAGAGCAGAAGCAATTCCCATGTGTGCATCCCTCACGTGCATGCACAGAGCTGGTCAGCCAGTGGAGAGAGCACTGTAAAGTGCTTTGGGATCCATCAGCATCAGAGATGGTTTTGACTGGCCACTTGGATGAAGGGCACTGGGTGGACAGATCCCTAGACTGCACAGCCCCACTCCCTGCCAGTTGCAAATGATGCAGCTGAGGAGACTCACCGCAACTGGAGTCAGAGTATTCAGACTGGGTTTCCCCCATCTCTTCTCCAAAGGTTGAGCCAGGGGTGTGAAGGCACATCTCAGCATGTTGTGGGGACTGGCAGCCACAGGAGCTGCACTTCGATGAATGCATGTACAGCGGGGACTGCCCTTCACTGCTCCGAGGGGACCCATCCAGGGACCTGTGGAAGGACAGCAATGCACACAGCCGTGAGAAGGCCCTTGCTGTGCTTGAGCTATGAAGCCCTTGATGTTTGCACCCTTCCAGACATGAAGAACATCCATGTTTTATGGGAGATTTTTGTGGAGATGCACAGCAGAGCCCTGATCAATAACTGGTCCCTCATGCTTCAGGTGCCCATACCAAGCAACCTCAAAGCTCTCTAGGAACATCCGTGTCCAGGATATAGTGCACTGTTCCCGGACAGTTAGGCCTTTTCAGAGCACACAGCCAAGCGAACGCTCTGGGCAAAAGGACTCAGGTGAAAACAGGCTGGGTGAATCCAGGCTCAGAAACCATCCAAAGCTGCAGTGAGCCAGACATTCCTGACCCAATGTTCCCAATTTCACTGCCAGACCAGGCCAGCACTGCTACCGTGTGGATGGCCAGCTGATGTCACTGGCAGTGCTCCACCAATGCAGAAGTTCCCACCTGGTCCCCAACCCAACACCCCAGCTATTTCAGACACTTCCAAACCTTCACCAACAACGTATGGAGTTCTGTTGCTCAGGGGAATCTTCTCACCTGTTAACAATGTTGTTGAGTCTGCTCGCTTGTGGGATAGTGGAATCTTCTCCACTCACACTCATCTTGGTAGGGGATTGCACATTGAGGTGTTCTGGCTCCATGGACTGCTGGCAGGTGGACATGGGCATGTAAGTGCGAGGAGAGAGGGTTCCCATCTCATTCTGATCAGCACCATCTTGCTTGGTGCTCTGATTGAGAGAGTTGAGGACAATGAACTTATACTTCTTCCAGTTGCAGGCTTTGGGGTCTGTGGGGCTCTTGGTGGCAAGAGAGCTAGAGCTCTGACCAATACGGGCGTTCTTGCTGCTGCTGGACTCCGTCGGCGAGTTGGGCTGACAGTCTGACTTCTGGGGGCTCTGGGGGCTAATGAGTCCCTTGCGGTCCAAGGGGGTGTTGGTGGGCTCAAAGTGCTGGCTGATCTCATCTTCTGAAGATGTCCGCTCCTCCTCTTTGGCCACTTTGTCGCAAGAGAAGTAGGAGTTGTTTCGGACCGAGGGGACAACAGGTTTGGGGCCAGAGGCTACGCTGTAGTGCATGTCACTCCTGGCTTCTTCAGCAGCAGCTTCTTTTGGAGCATAAATCGTGGCATGGCACATGTTGGCTGAGATGTCGGTGATGGTTCTCATGTACTCTGTGGGGACTGTCCGAGAGCTGTCGCATGGCAGAATCCTCTCCTTGGGGAAGGCACTCGCCCTTGAGAGTTCGGAGAGGGGCATCCGCATCTCCCGCAACTCATCATCCACAAGGAAGCCATTTAGAGGGAGGGGGCTGTATCCAGGGTAGGAAATGGAGGATCCAGACAGGCTATTGAACAAGCCAGGTGCAAAGGCTCTCCCATCACAAAGGGACCCATTTCGGAGGTGCATGCTGCTTTCTGAGATCTCTCTGCTCCGATAAGCCATCACCTCTGGGTGACTCAGCATCCGGCCAGCCAGAAACTCTTCCCTTGGAGTCTTCATAGCAGACACCATTTCAGCTTCACTGTAACCAGGCAAAAAGGAGGTACAGACAGTCATTTCTATACTCAAGAATGAGTTCACTCCCACCCCAACACACCATCCCAGGCTCTTCCCAGGCTCTCCAAAGTTCACTCATGGCTCTCACCTAGATTTGACAAACCTTCGGCAAGTATCAACCACGTGCTCCATCTGCAGGTACAGTGCTGTGGCCATCACAGCCATGATATTGTTCTCCCTCAAGTTCAGGCGGGATGTGTACATGAAGTCCAAGAGGATGCAAAACCCCTCAGGGTTGATTTCAGGGTCTAAATTGATGACATTCAAGTTGCATTTAAGCTGATCAGTGAAGATGCTGTAGAAGAGGCCACTGGAGGGGAGACAGAGAAGAGATGAGTGTGATGACAACTCAGAAGAAGAAAGAATTTGTCTGAAATCCTTTAGCACAGAGGGGTTCCTGAACGATAAAGAAGCCAAAGGCAATTACAGCATTCCCTGAGCTTCCCGCTTATTATCGAGCTTGGTTTCCCAGCTTAGTAAGCATCTTCTGTGCTGCACTTTTACCAACTGGAACAGCCTGCTTTCAAATCTCACCTGCCCAACAACTCTCCACTGCCCTGGTTTAGAAATTCCCCCTTTTTTGTTGCTGTTGTTGTTCTTGCCACCGCCACCCCCTTCCTGCTGTGTCTCATTTCTTTCAAAAGCCTCTCGGGAGATCCACACATACTTTAACCAGAAAGAAAAGGAAATGTTGACAAAACATTTTTCAAATGTTCTAATAGCTAAATCCTTGCTTTTCCACATCCCCGCGCCCTGTCAAGAGAAGACCTTGGAAGGCATCTGCAGTGATTCAATTGAACGATAGTGGGATGTTAATTAAGAATTTGCTAAGAAACAGTCCTGGACCTGGAAGGGGATTTCAGCAGAGGTGGGCGCAGTCAGCAAACTGGGGGCCAGGGAGGAACAGCTCTAAAAATAGCCRTGACAGGGGACACTGCAGTCACAAAGGACTTGCTCACCCCAGCGAGCATCCAGCCCCGCCTCCCCTTCCCTACTCTCAGGGAGCCTTCGTGCTCCGTCTTCAGAAACACAACCCACGTCCGCCGTGCTCCTGTTCATCTCGAGGGACTGCATGTAGGCAAATGTATGCACTCAAGAAAGAGGGGTCTGTGCACCATGCTACAAATAAGAGGCCTCAGTTTTAGCTCCTTTACTAGCAAAGGCTTCTTGGCAGCCTGTGTGAAGTCTGCTTCCCTGCCTCAATTTCCCTGTCTGTAAAACCTGCAGGCTTCCCAGGGGCTCAATAGTATTGCAGGTCACCAAAGGCACAGGGAAGAGAAAGGGACAGAGGAACCCATTCCTGCACTCACCTGCAGGCCATGAGGACTGTTTTATGAGCTCTGAACTGTTCCCGGTTCACAATGATGACAACATCGGTCAAGATGTCCCGGCTTCTAAGGCGGTTGAGATTGAGGAGGACATCGCTTGCATGGCGGGTGAACTGGATGCAGCTGTCTGCTGGTGAGGCCATCTTGAGTCTGCTCAAAAAAAAGAAGAAGGTGGAGATGGATGGGAACACAGAAGCAGCTGAGAAAGGAACCTAGACCCAGTAAAGAGACAGCTGCCACTCCATAAAGGGTTTAGATGGTGAAGTGTGGCTGGTGGTGACAGCACCAGCTTCTCAGCCCCAGGAGAAACAACAAACAGGGAGGTGACTGCATTTCAGCTTCTGCTCCAAGTGCCCGCCAGGCTGCCCAGCAAAGTCTCTTGAAAGAGCCAGACCTAGTGTGTCTCAGCTCCACCCAGCGAGCTGGTGGGCGAAGGCAACCAGACCCTCCTGATGATTAGCTAACTGGCTCCTCTTTCTCCCTGCCTCACCCATGGTGGCTCCACCCCAGCCCACTCCTCCCACCACAGCTGCTCCCTTGGGTTTGCCTCCACAAAGCTCTCAACACACTGTCTTCCCAGTCTCTAGACCTTCCACAAGCACCATTCCCCCACCCATCTGCTGGCTGGCTGTAGATGCAGCCTTGGAAATCAAAACTGTCCTCGTCCCAACAGAAGCTGCAAGAATTTCAACATCTGGAAAATAGCCCATGGTGAAGCACAACCCTCAGCCACCATCAAAACTACTGATGAACCTTCCCTGCTTCCCAATGTCCACTTTGGAGCAGAACTGTTCAAAATTTCCCARTAAATCAGTGGCAATAGTCAGGGGCAGAACCCATCTAACCTGCTGGATTGCTACCCACACTTCAGSCCATTCTCGCCAAGTGAGGGAGGCTTGGGTTAGTTGAGGAATACAAACCTTCCCCCAACACAACAGCCCTTTGATCTGTGTTAGAGGGGCCCTCCGAGCAGCCTGCCATCTAGCACCCAGGACAGTCCAAAAACCTCTTTGACTTTGGGCTGGAATCGACATCTTAAATGTGCAATTCTTCAATGAGTAGCTCCCTCCCGCGTTCTCACCTCCTCCTCCTTTCCCAGTGGGATATGAACGTACAGTATTTTCTACAGAGCAGCTGCTCTCCTGAAAACAGATCCCAGCTGGGTCTAATGAAACATTTCATTCAACGTGTTTAAGGGAAGCGGGGGGGAAGCACAAAATTTAAATGTACATACCCAATGCCTCAATTCACAGTCCAAAAGTTTCTTTCAAACCTACAAATAAAGCACAAGAAAACAAATGCCATATTAGCTGGTATATATGAATTGATCCCAAAAGGACGTGCGCTTGTTGTCTCGCTGGTGCATCAATGGGATAAAAAGCTAGAGATAATCAACCTTCTACTCTCCAGTAAGGTTAACATTTGTTTCTTCCGGTACAGTGTGTTCTTATCACAACCACAGGCTTTGAGAATCCAATCATAGCTTCTTCCACACCCTCTAGCCCAAACCATGGGCGTATGCCAAGGGGATTTTCATTTCCATGACTCAGGAACCGAAAGGCAGGTGGGGAAGGGAAGTCAGGCAAGAATGTTYTCACCACGTCTTTCGGAGATAACTCTCCCCTGCCAAGACCAAATTCCCAGCCAGTGCCATATCCAATGCCAGTGCCATATTCCCAGCACCTCATTAACAGGTATGACTTACACAYCCGCTGCCAGTACTTAGAAACCTCGAAAGAGCCTGAATTCAGCCCTCCAGAGTAGCTACTGCCCCTCTCAGGATGCCAGTGCACTTCAGACACCAGGAAAATGCTTGGGAATGGTACTCCCAAACAGATTCGGGAAGATATGGCCATCAAGTATTGAAGGCATTTGGCCAGGATCACACAGGACATGAGTGGCTGAGATGGAAGCACAACCAGAACAAATGCCTTGTCCAGGCTAGTGACAAAGCTTTTCCCCAAACTGTAATTTCTGTCTCTGTCCGCTGCTTTTGTGGGCAAAATGACTGGGGCTGCACAGCGAGGAAACACAGGAGTTAAACGCCTTCCAAAACTCAGGCTCTTATTTCCCAACTTCCTTAAAAAATAATTAGCACAGCTGACCTGGTGCCAGCGCTAGGAAGAGGGCTCTCAGGTGGCTGCCCTGTCAGCAACCAGGAAARCCATCATAAATAAATGCACAACCTCTGTGCAGCCCTGAGACCCTCACCATACTATTTTTAGGACTGATCAAAAGTTTTTGGGAGCAAAGTGACATAGATGACTTCCGGCACTTGCAGGGATCCCATCCAGCCCTGCAAGGACAAGCGTTCCGCTTTCTTTCCCTTACARGAGATGCTCAGATGCAGAGCCCAAGCTCTCCCTGCGTCTCCAGAGACRCCGGAGCAGGAAGGAGTGTGATCTATGACAAGGTATCGCACGCAAAGCCCAGAAGGGCATCGTGCAATTCCGTTCCAGAGATCAAATGCAAATCTCCAGAGCTGCTCCGAGTCCTGCTAGCGCTGAGCTTCGCACACACAGACACACACACACACAAAATGACTCATTTCCCAAATACTGCAGACTCTGACCTCTCTGTACACACCGGCTGCCAGCCGCTCGCTACCCTCACTCGAGAGCCAAGGGACTTACAGCCATCCATAGGGAGCCCTGCACGCATCCCCGTTTCCGCACCAGCGGATCACGCACGTCCCGGCTGCCTGGGTCACGTCCCGACCTCGGCCGGGCGGGCGGCCCTGCCACCAACTCCTCGGAGCTCCCAGAGCCCACGCCGGTGTCACGGCGCCGTCACCAGCTGACCCACTTACAAACTAACCAAGTTACAAACTGCAGGGTGAACTCTGTGCCCTTGAGCATCACGTGAGGAGCTGTCGCTGTCACCGAGCTCCCTCTCCCGCGGCGAGGGCACGGAGCTGCCCAGKCGGGGAGCACCCGCTGCCCTCCCACCCCTCACATCCTCCTTACCCTGCACAACCATCTCCCCCCGGGCCGCCCGGGAGCTGCCCGGCCCCCTGCACCGCCCATAGAGCCAGGCAGGTGCATCCCAAGCGCTCCCAGCTGCAGGATGTGGGCGAGCAGAGGGAGAGGGACCTTCCTTCCCCTCACTGCACCGAGCCGGGCTTAACCCTGCCCTTCCCAGCCCTTGCGCAGGACCATCGGCACATGGGACGATGCCGGGAGCGGCAGAGAAGGGGGACAGGGATGGGAAGCAGCRGAAACCGCGGCTGCCCGGCAAGGTCTTCCTCTTCTGCTGCCAAAGCCCGCGAGGTGCCAGGGCTCGGCCGCGGCGGCAGCGTCGCCCCCGGCTTTCCTGCGCGGTACCTTGCAGGTGCAGGGCGGCCCGGCGCTCCGGGCTGCGCTCGCCACGGCTCTCAGTGCCTGGAGAGGAAGGTGTGGGCCAGGCGCGCAGCCCCTCGCGGCGGCCGCGGGGGCGGCCCGGGGCTGTTGGTGCCACTGCCTTCCAGGAAGGCTGCGGGTCTGCCCCGGCGCTTCATGGAACGGCCCTTCCCTGGCGGCACCTCCCCGAGAAAGCCCATTCCTGGAAGGGAGCCCAGGCCGGTGCTGCCCTGCCCAGGGTGGCCGGCTTGGCAGGCGAGCGAGGGAGCTCGGGGCTCTGCACACAGGGGAAATCCTGCTCGGCTCCGCTCCATCCACGCCAAAGGGGGACCCCCACTGCTTCCCCCAGGAAAGTGGGACACCCTGAGTCCTCCCCCTCCATCCAGCCATGCTCTGTTTTATAGCAAATCCCTTTCCGTTCCTGGTACATAGGGAGCCTCCCCACCATGCTCAGGACGATGCCCTTGCTCCTCTACTCCCTTTGCATGCACCAGATCCCTCCTCATCCCCCCAGCAAGCCAGGGGAGGGCAGCACCCACCCCCCTGCAGCATCCCGCATCCTACCAGAACCTCTGGGCTTCTCCTCAGCCCAGAGGGGCCAGGAAGTCTCTCTTCCCCACAGCTCCATCCCACACAGGGCTCTGAAACTGCCCGCCCAGGGGAAGCGCTATCCTGCCCCCACTCCCTTGTCCTTACCCTGCCATAGGGCACCAGCACTGCAGGAGCAACCGGCTGCCCCTGGGGGACACGGCTGCCACCAACCCACCCCCAGCCCATCAAGGGACACGCAAGTGCTTCCATATGGTGACCAGAGGCAAGGGGCAATGGGGGAGCCCCAGGCACAACCACAGGTCCTACGAGCCCTGAGGAAGAGGACGTGCAAGTGCCCAGCTCCGCTTTCCCAGCATCACACACACAAGGGGCACGAAGCATCCTTCAGCTGTCAGAGCACAATTTTATTAATTTAGCAGCTTCTGTTTGGTGCCTAGGCCAGAACGTGGCTCGGTTAATAATAGCCAGGGAAGGGCAAGCCCAAGAGGAGTCCTAGCAGACGCCGTCAGCACAGATCAAAAGCGGCATCGCCAGCACAACCCTGTAGTTTTTTCCATCGTACCCTTCCGTGAGCGGATTGCACGCGCTGTATCGAGCGGTCTCTGCTAACTTTCAATCTGATCCAATTTCCTGCCAGCAAACAAATGTTTCTAGGAAATGCAATACATTATCTGGACGGGTTTATTATCAGCCCTTGGAACCAGGAAAACGGCATATTTTCTTGAGCGCTGCAGGGAGCTTCAGAGTTTGTACTTCAAAAGAGGATTTAAAAGGATTGCCCTTGAAAGTGGGCCCAGCTCAAGTTGTTTTGGTCTTTGCAAAAGAAAACGCAGGGGGAGGAGGAGGAGGAGGGAGGGGGAAAGATACTAAAAACATCTCAACTGTTTTCCGCTGTGAGGATTCCCCCTGCTCTTTGCATAGCCAAGATCCAACTAGGAGACAGAGCCAGCGAGTGCCCTTGGGAAGCAGGGAGTCAAACCTGCTCCAACACTTCAAATGACCCCTAGCAATTCAGCATGTTAATTCTACAAGCAAAGGCGGGAGCCTCGTCTCATCCGAGGCCGAGGGAGCTACTCGAGGGAGTAGGAGGCAGATGCAGCGTTTGCCCACGCGAGCCCTGCGCCAAGCGCTGCCCCGGTGGCAGAACGCACCACAGCCCCAGCTGCTCCGACCTGCACAGCAGTGACCCACTGACCAACCCCATGCCAGGGCCATCGCTCACAAGCCAGCAAATCCCTTCCCCTCCGTCCACGCTCCAGGTATCAAGGTGGCAACAGTCCATTTTGGCAGCAAGGAGCTCAGACAACCAGCCTAAAYGCAGCACCTGGGGGACACGTGTGCAGTTTGGGATCCCCTTCCACCCCATCCTATTTATTTAGCCCATCAGGTCTGTTTTGATATCTGTTTCGGAGTGTGCCATGCCCAACATGAGACATGTTCTGCAGAACCCACCACCCTGCTGCACACAAATCCCAAGCTCTCCTTGCTGCATAAACCACCAGATGCTCCTCACGTGTCCAAAAAAGGGGTAAACCCAAGGCAGAACACAGCCTGGGAAAAGGAGAGAAGAAAAATAACAGCCTGGAGGGTTCTCCTCTCCCTCATTCCCTTGGCTCTCCCTGCATCCTAGGTGTGAAGCGATGCTGAGCTTGCAAGGGAGTTGCACAGCCCTGAAGGCAACACAATCCCTGACGGAGGAGAAGTCCTGCTGCAACTGAGCACAAGCAAGACTTAACAATTTGAAAAATTGGATTTGGAATTACAAGGTGGATTTTGAATTAAGAAAAAAAATAAACCAGGGAAGGCTACTTCCCTTCTTTATTTAATGCAAAAAGGCATTTGCAATCTAAATTTGCAGTCTCAAAAAGTTTACCAGGCAGAGCGAACTTCTGAATACTCATTTAAACGAACTGCAAACTCCTGAGGTTCACCAATGCCTGCTGTAAACATGGAAACCAAGTGCCACTTCTTGCCAAAGAGAAGAATGGTTTAAAAATAGACCTAGAAAAGTGTACAGGCACTGGGTATACACGGCTCCCACTACGATAAAACRGAATGAGAGGTTACCGACACGCACTCAACTTCCCAAATTTAGGTTTTACAAACTTTTCAAAAGATGAGAACATTTCAGCCTTCAACTGAACGAGCAAATGTTTCTCATGGGGTGTTTGCAGCCCAAACATTACAGCCCATGAGCTAAAACAGGCATCATATGGCTTAGTTGATGACAGTGACAGAAATACAAAGAGATACATGAATTGCACAGTGACAAGTCCACATATTCGTTAGAGTTGTTTCACTTATCTCTACAAGCTTTTTTTTTTTAATGGACATTTAAAAAGGGACACTCATCCCWGCTCCCCAAACAAAGTATTGCCTCAGTAAGTTTTATCATGTGCACTTAYAATAGGATCTTGAGGACAATATCAATACATTTGATTTTAAAAAACTAAAAATTAATATTAGGCAGCTGCCATCATAACTAGACGGGAATGAAGAAAAAGAAAAGAGCTCCATGAGACATCCTAAATCGGGCAGAAATTCAAGGGAAGATTAACACCACAACTCGGAAAGATTTTCACATGCGATTTCATGACAAGAGCCGGCGAGAACTCCATATGGAAATGCCAGCGACTTTAATAAGCGCGCGCTTGTTTCCAATTAGGCTCCTTAAGTAAGTGCAGCGGCATCCAGAGTTTCTTCGCCACCGTCCCCCGAGCTCGCGAGCGTTTCTTTCTTTTTATAAGCAGTGCATTAATAAACACGTTGCCGCTGTGCCGAGCCGCGGCCGGCGGAGCCGGCGACCACACGACACTAGATGGCACCAGCTCGCTTCGCTGCAGAGGCGATTTTTCCCCTTGGAAAATAAAACACCCCAACCAAACCTGGAAAACATATAATTTCGTCGATGTAATTCTGTTTCTCTTAAAAATGTGTCTGAGCAACATTATTTTTACGAGCTTTTCCAGCCTTGTTTTTCAAAATTTAATGTTTCTGCTAGGTTTATTTTAGACGGCAGGCTTAAGTCCTCCCTGGGCTGCGAATGGGGATGTCTGAAGACTTTTAAAGACTTTTAACAGATTTTTTTCCTCTCTTTTTGGKGGGATTTGTAAGAATCACTTCTCATTCTGACTTCTTCCTTTGCAATAATAACTAACCAGTTAAATTCCACTTCCTCTCCGAATATTGACTCGGACCGTCAGAACTGAGGGGGATTGGAAATTGGAATTGAAATGCATCCCGAGAGATCTTTGATCTGTTTTGCCAGTCAAAAAATTGAACACTCAGAGACGAAGCCTTTAAGCCTTTTCTTAGTGGCACAATATAATAATCCATTCTTCTGGAAAATTGCTAGACAGTCTTTGAATATTTTAATGGATTGATGATTTGTTTAACAGGGGAAAAAAAAAAAAAAACGCCGCCTGTAATATAAGTTCTTAAGCCGACAATCCCTTCGTTAAAAGGGAAATAACAGAGGCTTAAGCTTTCTCCGTGTGTGTTTGCATACACTCCCGTCGCACGCATGAGAAAGAAATAGAAGGAGAGCTGCCTTAAAGCATTTTCAAAGCAATTTCCGAACTGAAGCCTCCCCCAGCTCCACGCAGCGCCAGGAGGAAGCCCACATTTCTCCTCCACGCGCTTATCCCGCAAGCCCTCGAGACAACGCTGCCAAGGAGGGAATTTGAAGAGCCCAGGACGGCGACCAAGGCGCTCGCAAGGAGCAACAGGGGCCGGGCGCTGCCCGCCGGCGCCGCTGCCCCTCGCGGCGGTGCCGGCCCGGGCCGATGCCGGAGCGCGGTGCTGCGCGGTGCTGCGCGGTGCTGCGCGGCCGCGGCCAAACGCGAGCCGAGGCGGAGCTCAGCCCTCCCTGTTGTTTTTGACTCAGGATTTTTGCAGTCCGGATTTGCCTCTTCCTTGGAAACGCAACAGGGGTCAAAGGCGGCTTTTTAGGCACATCTGAAAGAGGCCGCCGCGGATTTCTCTAAACAAGCGGCTCGCTTTCCGCTTCCCTCCTTCTCAAGGGGCGATTTCATAACGTTCACGCTGTGACTTTGCAAACTCCGGGAGCAGAGCGGGAGGGAGGCCCGGCGGGGAGGGGAGGGGGCGGCCGGGAGAGGTCGCTGCCGCCCGACCACGGAAAGTTTTCACAACAAAAGTTGGGCTTTTTTTCGGTTTTGTTTTGCCCCCACCCCTTTTTTTAGTTAAAATAGAAAATAAATAAATAACACCCCCTCCCCCGCTCCCTTGCCTTGTGTTTTTGGGAGCTGCGGGGCAGGACGCAGGGTCGCTCCGCGGCCGCGCAGCCCCGGGCAGCGGCGCGCGGGGCCGGCGGCGCCTGCGGGAGCTCCGCGCCGCGCGCACCGGCCGCGCTGTCCCCTTCCCTGAATTACTCCCCTCTTCGCGGGCATCATTATTATTAATAATAATAATTTAAGCCCTCCGCGTAGCATGCGGAGCTGCCTCGCGCCTCCGCAGCTGAAGCCTTTTCCTTTTATTTATTTCCATGTGGCAAAAGCCGCGGGGAGCAGCGCGGGTGCCCGCAGGCGCGGGAAGGGGTCCCCGCTCCGGGGGGTGCCCCGTGTCCCCCGTCCCCTCCGCGGGCTCCGGGGCCGCCTCCCCGCGCGGCGGCCTCTCCATCCCCGCCCGCCGCGGCCCCGCGCAGCGCGGGCTGCCCAGCGCAGCAGCCCCCTTCGCTCCGCGGGCGCGCGGACGTGCAAGACGAGCCAAAATAAATAACAACAATAATAATAATAAAATACGAATAACCGCGGTGCTGCAGGGAACGTAACGCCGAGGAGCCCGAGCGGCGCCGCGGGACGCGCTCCCCGCACGGAGCCCGCGCGCGGCCGCCCCGTCTCGCGGCGCCCGCAGGTGCCGAGCGGCGGCCCCGCAGCCGGTGCCTCCCGCCTCGGCCCCGCTCCCCGCGGCCCTCCTTTCGCAGCGGCGCCCGACGGGAGCAGCGCGCAGAAGGACGAGCAAAAATAAATAAATGAAGAGATCGGGGGAAAATAACAATAAATAAAGCGGGGCGAGCGAGGCGGGCGGGGGGCGATGCTCGGTGGCGGAGAGCCGCGCGCCGCCGTCGGGGCGGCCCCGAGCACCTGCCGCGGAGCGGGGAGGCGAAAACGGGTAGAAATTATATAGCGGCGGCGCGGCGCCAGCGCGACTGGCAGCGGAGCGAGGGGCAGGGAGGGAGCGAGAGGAGGGAGAGCGAGCAGAGAGGAGGGAAAAAAAAAAAAAAAAAAAAAAAAAAAAAAAAAAAGAAGAAAAAAAAAAAAGAGAGAGGAGGGAGAGAGGAGGGAGAGAGAATTAAAGGGTAAAAGCGGCGGCGGCGGCAATAGCAGCGGCAATCACCTGGTCTCCGGGCTTTCCTAGAAACTCCTTGCATCACCACTTCTAAGAACCCCAGTTCTAAGAATCAACAGAGCCCAATTCTCGGAATTTGAGCTGCCGACCCTACCACCGCGCCCGGCGCGGGGAGGGCCGCGTCCCTCCCCCGCCGCCGCCGCCGCGCGCCG